GTACGATATTTTTTTTCTTTTATATTTTTGCCTAACTGCTTCATATGAAGTTTCTTTCCATATCCTCTTTTCCTATGGAATTCAGCACATCATTTTGCTGCAGAGACATGACTCACCTGTCCCACGTTAGCATGGATTGCCTCTATGGACAGCTAGGGGGCTGTATTATCCCACTTTTAAACCAACAAGACCTAAATCGAGGGATACAACCATTACCAGTCGATCTTAACAATTTTTTCCTTACCAGTTTGGGCAAACATCAATGTATATCAGTATGTATATCAGCCTGTATATCAGTATTTAAAGTTTAATGGAATCGTTTGTATAAAATACGGAACTTCACAAGTGGCTGCAGTTTTGTCTGTGTTTTCAAAGCTTTAAGGGTATCTAAGTGGGCTGTGTTTCTTAAATGCAAGCTCTCTGAATTGGATTGTACTGTTTTAGTATTTTTCTATGTGTTCTACTGAAATCATAATCAGGTCAAATATTAAATATGAATTCACCTAGGAATTTTGTAGCTTTTGGTTTTGGCTCTTTTTTTTTTTTTTTTTCTTCCAGGTGGCCCGATACTACTTGAACACAACCTTTGGTGAGAACAGGGAAACGAGTTTAGGAAAAACTTCCTGGCCCAGAACAGCTGTGGGAATTTACTACCAGGTCTGATTAAAGTGGAGGGTGGTGAGTGGGGCTTTCTTTTCTTATACTTTTGCATCAATTAAGTCACTCAGTAATTTGGATTGCACTTCCACGTGTTTTTTATTTGATTACTGTGTGAATGCTCATTGCTTACTTTGCTTTTGTTTTATGTTTTCCCTGATACTTACTGAAAGCTCTAAACCCAAATAAATGACAGGTTCAGTAAAAACTCAATCTTGCTTTTGTGCTGCAAAAGCCCATTCAAGGCTTCATAAGCCCCTCAAAATTGATTTTTGGAGCGCTGTTATTTAATCTGTCCCTTTCAAAACTTTAATGCCTTGAGCAAATCCTTCTTGCCTTATTCCCACCACTAGGCGCTTTGACTTCATGGTAAGCAGATAAATGTAAGACAAAAAATGCTGTTCAGATTGTTCCCCCAGTCTCTGGTAATTCTCTAACTTGTCGATTCTCCCTTTCTCGTTATTGAATAAAGCCTCCTGTGTAAACACTACTTTTTTGTGCTCCCATGGCACACAGACTGTTTCCCATCAGTTGCTTGCTCTCTCCCCCACCTGTTCTATCTGACTCATTAGTTCAGCTTCAGCTTTGCTTCACCTATTCTTTCCCCAAAGAATTATATTTAAAGTTCATGGCACTGTTCTTATTCTCAGCATACTTTCTCTCCACATAGCTCCTGGGCCTGCAGAGAATACTGTGTAATGTTCCCCGGGCTCAGTGGCTCCAACTCCAGTATTTCCTTGCAGGGTTCAGTCTTTAAAAGCAGGTCTATGGCAGAGATGGCAAAGGGAATCTGCAGGCCAACTGTGGGCCAGCCAATGTATTAATTCAACCACTAATTTACATGCAAAGGAGAAGGCAGAAGGAAATTCAGTAAAACTGAATGCAGAAAAAGTAGTATTCTAACTTTGCACATCGTGTATGGCTGGCCTCAGGTGCCTCATGGCCCTGACCTCAGGTGTGGTTTGATGCCCTTGCTGTCTTCAGAGCACTTGGGTTCAGCCTGCAAAGGTGGCAGGGAGCTTTAGACTGCCCACAGTTGGGGTTTCACTGATCTCAGCCTACTTTGAAAGAACAGCATTTGAAGCACTGGGGTTTTTTTATAGAATTTTTAGTAGCAAATAACCCCTCTATTGTCATTACTTTGTCCTTTACTAAAACTTTTCAATGAAAGAATACCACCTAACGCAGGTAATTATAAAGAACCAAAGAACTAAAACTATGTAAACAATGATTAGTAGCAGTTAATGCTGGCAGTAAGTAGATTGAAGTATTTAGTACTGTCTTCCACATTATTTATATTGTAATGGCCTTTAAACAGTAACTCAGTAGTGATTATGTTGTCATCTGCCTTCTGATGAAGTGTTTGTCCTTACCAGCTGTACCTTATCTATGTCATATTATATTAATTGTTCTGGAACTTTTTTATGAAACTCAGTCAACACAATATAAAGCCAGCTTAAATATCCTTATAATTTTCACATCAAGGAGTTCTGTATAGCTGATTGTTATTATTATTCTTCATTTGATTGAAGAGCCTTATGGTTTGAGCAATTGTCAGATAGAAGATCTTTGGCTGAAATCAATGGCAAAGAATCCATTGACCTGATTTTACCCCGGAGGTGGTAAGAGGCAATTGGAAAAGAATGTGCAAAGAGTAGAAGGATTATGACTCCAACCACACAGTGGCTTATGGGGTTTTGTCTGGTATCTCTGTAAATTCTTAGAAAACCTGAAAGTGATTTGTAGCTACAATTTGTGGCAGAGTCTACACAAGTAATACCAACACAACATGGCACTTTGGGAAAGCTGCACACCTTGTGTGTTAAAGTGACACCAGTCCAACACACAAGGGACTTCAGCTACCCAAAAGTGCTCGCAGGACATGGAAATTAGTTTAGTAATAAATGAAAAGGATGGCATCCAGAGATTAATTAAAAAATACTAGAAACAAGTTCAAAAAATTATAAATAATTCCATCTCTGAAAGAGAAATAATTAATTTCTGCTGTGGAACAAATGTCCTTGTGATTTGCAAGAAGCTTTCTCAAACCTATAGTCCGGGTTAAAGAGCATGTAGCAGTTGGACATTCTGAGCAACTGTAAGTAGCATGGACTTTCTCCTTGGATTTTTTTGTTGCATTTTAAAACTTTTTTGGATTAAGAAATTCTAACCTTTTTCACTTTGGGTGATAGTTTTCCACAGGTGAGTCTAAATACTGGCAAGAGGAGCGTTCAGTGACAACATTCAGAATTTCAGAGGCATGCTCTCCAGCTGCCCTGCTATTTCTGACCTGTCGGTAACATTTTATTCAATTTTGAACACTTAAAACATGATTTCACTTTCACTGTAACAGTAAACACCCCACAAAAGCTGGTTTTTGTAACAGTGAAAGTAGCTATTGGTGCAGAGATTTGCAGTGTGTTGCTTTTATATGGGAAATAATACTCTGTGTGTGTGTATATATATGTATTCAGGACATTAATGCATGAATGGTTTTGTAAATAGTGGCCTGGATTTCAGTCTTATTTTCACTTGTCTTGCTCTGCTGTGAATGTTGTAGCTATTCCTGGCTTAGACTTGTAAATAACAGGAGAATAATGCTACCTGTGTATTAGATATAGAGATAACTTCTATACAAAGCTTATCATGTGCCACGATGGTGTCAAAATTACCAGTGAAGTAGCAATCATCTCTCCATAGCACCCAGGTCAATTTGTAGTGGAGTGTTTGCAAGGCCAACTTCTTTAATTAAACATCAGCTGCTTGAAAATCTGAAGCTGACTTGTATCATCAATGCCATCACCAAGTTAGCACCTTCTAATTACCTTGAAATACTCTAGAAATCTGGTTGTTGTCTTTGTTTCTCCAATTATACCCTGGTACATGCAGCAGATAATGGATTTTGTGACCAATAGTAGATGGTCCTTCATATTAAACGTCCAAAACACAAACAGTTGTGACTTAATCAGCTGCAATTCGACATCCCTATTATGACTTCATGGAGAGAATCAGTACTCTGGATGGTTTAGCTTTTTTTTTTGGTAGAAATCCGTCTGTAAAGAAAAAGGGGCAGGAGAGGAAAAAACAAATAAATATAAAGCTTGCACAGAGGTTCTGTGAATGTCATATTCTCTGTATATCCTGGCATATGCTAAGCTTTTAAATAAGTGTTTCTGAAGTACCTTACAACAGTTTAGCTCCATCTGCCACCCGGTTCTGGCTATAAAAGTGGCCAGCCTGATCATCTTCCATCTCCTGAGGTGAGGCAAACTCCTTTAGGCAAAATTTATCGCGAGGAGAAAAATTTTATTGAGAAAAGCGAATTCCTGAAGTCAAATGGGCCAAAACAGCTTGTTGGAAAAATTGATAAGTATATATTGATTTTTAAAAAACAAAACAAAACAGCAACCAACCCACTAACATTTGGTCACAGCTAAAACATAAAAACACCTGAATCAAATTTTCCGCGTATGAAAACAAGGAAATCTGGAAACTGACGCTATTTTGGGCTAATTGCATTTTGTTGGGTTTCGGGGGAGCGCTACATAGTAGCAACTGTGGGAAAACCACTAAATACTTCTCTGTTTGAACCATCTGTCAGGAAGATGGGACATATGTTCGCGTTGTTTATTCAGGAGCCAAGTGGAAGCCGATACACTCCGCTCCCCCCCACGGGCCGGGGGGCTGGCCCACGCCGAGCACCGCGGGGATGCTCCCCTCACCACACACACACACACCGCGCCCCGCGGAGCCTCCGCGGGGCCTGCCCTGAGGAGGGCTGCGGGGGAAAACACGGGCGGGTTCCTTCCCTCCCGACCCCGCCGTCCCTCCGGGTCGCGGCGGGACGGCCCGGGCTTCCCCCGCGGGCGGCGGCGGGGCCGGCAGGGGGAGGCCGTGGCCGCGGAGCGCACCGCGGAGTGCGGGCGGGAGGGAAGCGGGGTCATCCCCACCGGCACCGGCCCCATCCCCACCGGCCCCGCCGCTTCTCCCGCAGCTGTTGGCGGCGGCGGATTCCGCGGGGG